TTTTTCTGATCAAAATATCCTGCACAATGGTTTGAAATGAGGCCTTCATACTAATGCAAAAAAAAAAAGAAAAAATTAAAGCCTAATGTATAAAATAGTATTGTAACGCTATCAGGACAGTTAATCATATCAGCCTTTTTGTAACCAAAACATGCCTTATTTATCAGTTCTCAAAAATAATGTATATACGCGAATAGAATACAAAATATGACGGTAGAAATCACAGTTCAAAGGACAGTTTTTTGATTATTGTATCAACCTAACGCTATCAGTTTGAAAACAAAAAAAAAAACAATTTAGCTAATTTTTCTAGGCAATTAAATCACTTTACAACGGTCGACATCGCAACTTTGTACTTTTGTTACTTTCTTTTAAGATTATATTCCGAGATTTGCTCTGGTTTTCTTTTACTTTTTGGTATTGAACTTGTCAAGAACTACAAATGAATAAAAGAAAGTTACGTGCTTTCTTAACATTTGCAAACTATTGAAATTTTTTATCATAGTTGATTTGTAAACTCTATTTTACAACGAACATCGTTTCTTATATGTCAATGTAGTTCGTTTTTTAGTCTCTCGCTCGCTTGAATTATCTTTGGAATTCTGTCAGTTTCTTGTTTTTCATGTCTATTAATGTTATTTTAATTTTTTAAAATACGTACTTTCAACTGATTAAAACGAAAAGCTACCTCCAACAGTTTATATGCAATCGCAGCAATTTTATATGCCCGGTTGACAATTTTCAATTGTAACAAATTTCTCAGCAGACGAATTATATTAAACATCTTATGAGGCAAATTTTTAATTAACGCATAAGCATGAGTAAGAAATGCGATTATCAATTCGGTGCCCATTGGTTCACATTTCAAGACGGTAGAGTTTACTTTGACCGTAGCTATGCTGAATTCTTAGCCGATCAAAGCATAACACTTACTGATTGTGCACATGCGAGTTAAGCTGCAGCCATTATCACCCTATATCTTTCCTTTTCCGACCGTTATCGTATTACGCAAATGGCGAAAATTTCCGGAGTGATTGGTTACGTTAAATTACCATACCAATCTGTAACAAGAAATGCAAATAGTAATTGAATGAAATGAATGCAATTTCAAGCAAGAATTTTTCTAATAACCTGAATCCTACAACTGCGTTTGGTTTCCGTGGGCTGGCAGATGCGGGTTTACATTGTCGTATACTTTAGTTAAAGACTTGAACGGCGACGACGACTAAAGATATGAAGTTCCAAGCACAAGCGTTAGCACATATGCCTTGAACCCCTGAAGAAGATGAAGATTCCCATCATCTTTAAGCCATCTTTTACCGTACCTGCCGTAAGCGGTCTTGCCAATAAGGCAAAGTCTTAGGTGAAATGCAAATTTATTCTCAAAAAAGCGACTTTTTCAAGGCAGATTTTTGTCATCAATCGAGCACCTTCAGCCAATAAGTATCGTGCTTTCTGCCAATTCGCGTGAGAACAAAGTGTTGCATGTGTTGCAACTTTTTGTTTCAATAAGCGGACTTGAAAGGAAAAAACTCCACAGCAGCAATTTCGTTAAAAGACACGGCTAACGATAATGTTCTTTACCAATTCGAATCCGACTTTATATCATTCATCACTTTTGCTGAATACAACAATTTGTCAAAACCGCAAGTAATTTATTTCATTTTTATCGATTTTCTTAATGAGTGTAATTGAGAAATCTTCACAATAAATATTTTCAAGTTGTATAAGTAAAACTCTTGTAATGATTGAAATAAATGAAAAATATTATTAGACATAGAAGAATTGGAAGAAGGTGCGCAAAGCTATTATCAGTTTCCTTTGTCTTTCTTGTTTCCAT